GCCCCCTCCAGAGATTTTAAGCGCAAGAGCCGCAGCCGCAGTTCGAGTCTGCGAGGTGGCAAGGGCGTCATCCGCGCGTGGACCACGAAACCCGAGTACCGCGGCCAGGGGGTCGGCAAGAAGTTGCTCCATGAGGCGGTCCGTTTGGCTAGAGACAGGTGTGGAAAGGACGCGCAGGTTGGATTTGCGCTGGAGCATGCCAATAGCACCATGTTGCTGCCGGCCATGTTTAATAAGGCCTTTCGAAAGGACGAGGTTCGTGCCGCCGTGGCCCTGGAGGGTGCTGTGGCCGAGTGGGATCTGGGCAAGAAGAAGAAGTGGTGATGATCTTTTGCTCTCTAATAGAATGGTTTGTGTGTGTGTAATTCTGTTTGGCATTTTTTTTCCTCCTTCGAGCATGGCGGTTACTTTTTGTCATTCCTTGATACCCGAGCTTTTAAATAACTCTCGTTAATTCATGATATGTTTTGCTTCATAAACAGCTGGCCAATATACTTAACAATGCCAGTGTGCGCAAGCCTGCCAAGTACTCACCATACCCTCCACAAATAACAGCAGATAGTGCAAACAAGGAAGCTACCATCCTCAAGAATCCTCGGCAAATATATGCCCACAAGTCAAGCCAATATATCCTTCCGTAAAAAAAAAAAAGGTAATGCCAACAAGCCAATTATAGCAAAGTTCCTCTTAAGCCTGTTCAAATATCCGCCCAGTCCGCTAGACCCTGGTGTCCTGACATGGCCATCAAAGTGAGGTATATGGATTCCAATCCAACATGCTTAACGCTCCAAAACCAGCCACTTGTCGCGACAAAAGATTTTTTTGTAAAAAAGAAAAAAAAATGTCACTTTCGTCGATCCATCATGTCAAATCCGTAGATTGGTCTGCCAATTTGTCTCAGGGCGAAAATCACCTACAATTATTAGCAATTCGGCACGCACAAATCGTATTCCTCCCTCGGAAGGGAAGAGGGGACTTGCATCGTCGACAGTAACCGTTTTTGCATTTCTGTGTTCAACATATACTGCGCATATGCGCAGAATCTACACCCGTTAGTGACACGTGTAAAAACGGGTAAAGAAAGGGCACGTACCTGCTCTAGTTTCAGCCTTAGCGCCTTGCGGCATTCATCGTAAATATCCGCCGAGATGCGCTTCACGCCGCCCCTACGAGCAAGCCGTCTACACTCGTTAGTTCACCGCTCCATTCACGACGCGGAGCGTGTCACAAGTACCGTATGGCGGGTTTTGCTACGGCAGTCAGCTTTTTTCCTTCTTTTTTTCTTGCATTTTCTGGAGAAAAGGGGGCGGGGAACGCACTGATCCCGTTGATCGTGTCACGCAAGACCTTGCGGCTGGGCAGGTTAGTATCGGGTGCGTGAAGAAGGGGGGGGGAGAAGATGCACGGCATACTGTCTAACGGCTTTGCCTCTGCCGACAAAGGGGGTCTTGCCTGCGATTCCATTGCCCTTGCCCCTGCCCATGCCCAGGCCTCTT